CATTTTTCCTATCATACTTTATTGTTCGCCTGTTATTTTCCCAGGTCTACTTAGAAAGGACTTCATTACTCTACGTCACGGTTTGGTGATTATCAGCAGTGTTTCTCTTATTCCTTTAAACACTCTGATCACAAAATTGTGTAACTTGCACATCACTTCGTGTGAGAACTTCGCTCAAAACATACTCAATGATCCCAGTCATCCACTCCATCCCGATTTATCTGCTTGCCGTTCCCACGCTTCAACCCGATCCGCTTTTCGCTGCTCGCCCTTCCGCATAAACATTTGCCGCAACTCAACGGTTCCCTATTTGGCTCGTATTCTCACTGACACGGTGAGGATCCGTAACGAACTAATTTTAAACTTACAAAGATGAACACCTATTCAAGTGTTACCATTGTTATACATTATTTTCATTTCATTTTTTATCCCACTGTAACGGTAAACACATTTTTGACTGAAATGTGGGCTCAGTCGCCTGCGCAAGTCATCTATAATACAATACAACGCAGATGCCTGTTCTGTCATACAACTGAATCAGGCCAACTAACTTTTACGTCACGAGAGTCAAGTAGCAATGAGTGATCGATTTAGAAAAAGCTTTCACAGCTTTCGCAAGTGTTGACTGGCGTGCTTCATGCAGTTACGGAAATCCAAACTGTTTCGCTACCAATGGTTAGTTTATAGCTAGTTGCGTAAGAGGCGACTGCACCTAAAATCAACCGGCTTACACTGGACTCAAACAGCTATGTATGGAAGAGATATTTGATTGAAGTGTAAAATAAGTGCACAATGCGCCATAATGTCGATTATTTCACATAGGCGGCTGTAATTGTGGCAGAAGTTAGCCACTGTTGAGGAGTTTGCTTTGATAGGCACAACTTCCGTGGGAACCAGACACCATGAAAACCCTTTAGTAGTAAACTCAGGGCATCGCGATGCGGCAGTGATGAATTTAAGCGCTGAAACCAGAAGAGAGAACGCCAGTTTGCACAGTTCAAACCCAAGGGTTGAATAAAAGTGAACGGAGTGTGGACAGAATACAAAGTTCTGGCCAAACAAATGCCCCACATTCGATCAAGCATGTCATTCCAAGTGTAACACTTGTTCAGGAACTGATCGCTACAAAAGCACATCATTTACTCATTACTGTAAGATGCTCATTAGAAAGGCCTCGTATCCACAAGGACGATGGTAAAATTAGTATTTATATCGGTTCTAAGGGTGGTGAATAAGTGGATCACCTTACAGTGAACATGCTTTATTCACTTAGACGACAGCAAAATTTACTTACAAGCAAAATAGTCGTACTGATGGGTTTCTGGGCTTTCAAAATCAAACTCGACCCATCGACAAGAACCGCTTTTAAAACGGTTGTATTTATGAGAGTGATATCTGCCAAATCTCTAAACACATAGATTCAACAAGCTCAGCCGCATGCCAACAGTGATTTAGTCTGATAGTGCGATCCTGGAAGTGCAGCACCCACTTGACTGGGGGGCAACATCGAAAGAAGCCCAGAAAGGTAATGTAAACGAAGCACAACTGACGACAAAGAGGCTTACTTTAGCAGCACGACCAAGGACACAGTTCAGATGACCACAAAAGCGTGTAGTGGCTTCCGTTTTTGACTCCTCTTCAGACGGATTAGCCGATTCCGGATCCAAACGCGCCCGTTTTATATCCGGTTCTGATTCAGTGGTTTGCATTCCACTGGGTAGCGTGCAAAACGGCAAACTGGCAATTGAATAACAATTCCCAGACAAAGGTAGGGCATTTTCCATTTCCAACAGCGCTTCAGGACTGGTTTCCGGCAACGTCTTGGGTAGACGAAAGAATGTTCGCTTTTTCGGGGTCTTAATTGGACTTGCCTCGTCTGTTTGAGGTTTACAATTCTTGGCAGCCTGAGTGACCGCGACCCAGTATTCCGCTTGCCTTTTGCATCTCTTCGCATGCCGTTTGCCTTTCAGATGGAATGTCAATTGCTCAACCGATGAACAGGTCAGGTCACAAGCTATGCAGTGGAGAGGTTGATTATTTGTTGCAAGCGGGACAGTCGGATCAGATCCGATTGACGGTGCCGCGTCAGTTGAGGAGGTGACCACGGAGCCGTTAGGTGCCGGAGTTATGGTGGCCGAAGCATTCAATTTGCGTTTGTGTTTTTGGCCATTTATGTGACCATTGAGATTTTCAACAGACGTGAATGTTAAATCACACAACTCGCACCTCAGCGGAGTTCGATCTGTGGACAAAGATTGAGATACACAGAATCTTAATCTATGAAGAAATTTGCCGTAATTTTGTTTTACAAAGAGGCAAAGGTCATGCAGGAACAACATCAAGAAATTGTTTATTTTTGGATACACTTTTAATTTTTTTTATTTTTCCAGTTTTCCGGTGTCTTCCGTGAATCCTGATTGATAAACTACCTGATACTTGATATCGATTCTCCTCTATTTTCATTTTGGGAATCAAAAGCTATCACTTCGGGAATTGCATCTATGCTAAACATATGTTGCACTCTTTTTTCTCTTTAGTGGCTAGAAAGATGATTACTAGTTAGGTATTATTTGATAGTGCAGTGAGCTCAGTGGTAGGCTACTCATACTACGGTGATAAATTTCACTTCGGGTGAGTTTGTCGCTACGGTTTGTGGATGCGATTAGCGTTGTGAAACAGTCGCATCCATTATACAACAACTTGGTTAAGGAAAGTATAGTGCCCCCCGAATCAATACCACGCTCATGCCCTTGACAAGTCACTGAACTATTTACGATTTACCTTTCCAAGGGAATCTTGTTTACTGGCCCCGGAACCAAACCAAGCTACATTCTACACCAAAAGCAATCACAGTGGTTCGCTGTAACGGTTAGTTTTGTACGCCACTTTTTCATACTCAAACGAAGAACCTCAATGGTCGAAGCAATCGTGCTTTTTTTTCCTGATCCGTCTCCCCATTTGAGCAGCCTCCGTTGCATTTGCGTAAAACGCAAAATGAATTCACTGCTATCCATGCTGATCGTTTCACCGGACTGTACACTGGTCTGCCTATCCACCATTAAACATCTCAGATGCAGAAGGACATCTTCGAAATGCTGTTGGGTTGTGAATGGTTTCCTCGTATTTCATTGATCCAAATTTACTTTCAAATCAAAGCAACCTGTTGACTACTAACGTACAAAGAAGTCTATAGTAATGGACTACAAAACTATCACAATTCAGTGACATCGGTCGGGTCTCCAAATCACTGTGGCTCACGCACCAGTTTTTGTCCCAACGTTGAGGCACTTAACTATCAATTCGCTTCTGTGCTCACCTCAAGATCCCTCTTACCTCCTTTTCCAACCCATTATGCAATAAACCCTGTTTCTCCGGACGAGGTTCTTCAAGCTTTGAGGGGACTCGAGGCCAAAACATCTCATGATCCCGATCGATTAGCATCTCATTTGTTGAAAGCTTGCTCCGATCAGCTTGCAACACCTATTGCTGAATTGTTCAGTACTGGTTTGCCATCCGGAACGATTCCCGATTGTTGGAGGTCAGCCCGAATCAGACCGATCCCAAAGAAGGGGTCGTGTAAGTACCCTATAATTGCCTGCACATCTGTGTTGCTAAAGGCTTTTGAAAATGTTTTTCTGCACTGCATGATACCCCTTTGTAACTCCCATGATCATTTACAATTTGCTTATAAACCCCATCTGTCCATACTTGACGCCGTTGTGCATGTTGTTCATTCTATTGCTTCTGCCTTAAACAAAGGTGCAGGTACTGCTAGTTTAGCTTTTCTTGATTATGTAAACGCCTTTGGTTCTCTCGAGCGAAGAGTGCCTTTTGAGCGTCTTTTTGAGTGTGGTCTGATATTTGAAATCTTGAATGTATTAATGGACTACTTCTCCCGTAGGACCCAGTTTATTTCACTGAGTGGGACACATTCGTTTTCTATTAACATTGAGCTGGTGTTTTTCAGGGTGCTATTTCGTCCCCTTTCTTGTTTCCTATGTATATACAGAGTCTCCCCACTCCCACCAACTTTATTACATGCAAGTATGCTGACGATATTGTAATTGGTTGCCCATTCCCTATATCAGACAGTTTCCGACCTCCCTAGGACAGCCTTAATAAACTTCATCATTGGTCTGTGCTCCGAACCTTTGTACTTAACATCAATAAGTGCGTCGAAGTTCAACTTGGTCTTAAAACCGGTTCCCGTTATCTTTCATTGGTAAATAATCTCCCCGATCTTATAGTTAACAATCAAAGCATCCCCAAATCTGTATCTGTTAAGTACCTCCGTGTCAACCTTACCCATAACTTGTCCTGGTCTGCTCATGTCATCAGCGTTTTCACAAAAATTCGAAAACTCTTTTTATGCATACAGGCTCAGGAAATGGGCCGTACCACATAATCTTATTCTTAAATTTGTGATTGCCTGCATTCTTCCACACTGGCTATACAGCTCCCCGATATTTATCCCTGATCTGAAAGAAAAAGACTTCAATTTATTTTTCAGATACCTTAAACTTTTGTTTCGCTACAGTGCTCTTTAGTCCGGGTAGATAGCTGTCGTACCGTTCGACCAACATAAGATGCGCTACACACGCATTTGAGGAAGTATACAAACATTGATGAGTTCAGCATCGACAGTTTATCCTTATTTTGAATGTGGATCATAGGAGCACCTCGAAACACGCACCGTAACTTGGCAGCGTTGAAGGCGTTGTCAATTTCTCTGTTCAGTCGTAGAAGAGTTGTTTTGGTTGATTTCTGTATTTCTAAGTATCTTGACGCTTGTGATACCTTTATGGACAGGATAACACGTGATCAAGGGCACTGTCTGCACCGATATCGTGAAAGCCCTGTCGAATCCAAATAACAACTGCTTCCTGCGCGGACTTCCACATATAGAAACAGTGTGCTTCCATATCTAGCTCGTTTACTAGTAAATCGTCAGAATATTCTCACCCACCTCAGGGAAAAACTCTGGCACTGAAGTATAGAATTTCTTATATTATCA